CCTTTGGCCAGTTTGGGGCAGCTGTCCTGGCTGTGTCCCCTCCCAGCTTCTCGCTGGCAGGGCATGAGAAGCTGAAAAGTCCTTGACTAGTGTAGGCGCTACTTAACACACTGATGTTTTAGTTGTTGCTATCAACATTATTCTCACCCTAAATCCAAAACACAGCACTATACCAGCTACTAGGAAGAAAATTAACTATCCCAGCTGAAAGCAGGACAGATATTTATGTGATTCTATATATTAATTTCCTCTTAAAAGATAGTTAAAGTTAGTCCTTGTCTCTGCTGACTTACCACTTTCTTTAATGCTGATACCTAGATTCCAGTATAGGGGAAGTGTTGGCCTGAAAGCCTGCGTGGTGTTCCAGGGAGACACGTGGTATGGCTGGAGGGCTGTGATAGCCATACCTAGCTAATAAGACCGTAAGAGCTCACTCTGCCCTTTTAGCACCATGTTAGATGCTGGCAAGCTGGGCAGGGGACCCCCAAAGTCTTGAGAAACAGCTGGAACCAGAACCCTTATGACACATGTACCAGTGATGTTTACTCCTTAAAACCTTCCTGAAAATTAATCACTGCAGGGGTTTAGATGTGTTTGAAAGTTGGTGTCAGCGTAAAGAGGTGTTTTTAAATCAGGAGCTATTGTAGTAGTTCTGATTTACAAGATGGTTTGATATATATTTATGCAGATGGTTATTGTTTTAGCATGCCTATCAGGCATTTATATGCATTTTCTTTCCTGTATAGAGGAAAATAGTCAAAGCAACAGAGATTCTGAAGCTAGCTAGTGATTTTGCACAATACAGTCCATATACTTTGATAAGAGAAGTGAGATGCTTTGATGTGCTTGAACTTTTGGGATTTTCCTTTAGTACTCTTCAGGTGGTTGCCAGCTGGAATTTTCTTGCTCTCTCTCTTCCTTCACTGCCCATGAGTGGAGATGTCCCTCAAGCACAAAGTGATCTGGAGAGAACAAGTCTATAAATACAGTGAGTAATTTTAAAATCTCCTGTTGAGTCCTGTCACTCTGTGCTGTTGGTTCAGCTTGTGCTCCCATGGCAAGACTGCACAGCTGGAAGGGAAATGTAGAGAGAGCTAGAAACAAAGGCTGGTAATGTGACAATCAGAAGAAGAGTGTTCTAAAAGCTCATCAGAGACTGAGCTGTGAGAAAAATTACTAACTTCGATTGTGATGCTTTTAAAGCACTCATTGTGGTAAGTCTTGACATACCACAGTCTGTGAAAGGATCAGTGATTCCAGTAGTTTCAAATCTAAAAGTACCTTCTAGCCTAAGATATTCTTTGACTGTATCTTGACAAGGGTGCTATTTTTGTGTGACTGAGGACATATTTTAAAATTACTAATATAATAGCAGCTATATATAACTTAATTTTATTTTGATAATGATGATGATGTTCCCAAATCGTGTCCATTTTCTGTTGGTATGTACATGGAAGGTGAATTGAGAAATCTTGGAGCATAGCTGTGAAATTACATTTTTATGAACTATCAGGTACTTATGTTACTGAATTAGCAAGGCCCATTATTCTGTTCAACTCTCTCGTATTTGTACTGTTCATTCTGCATTGAAAAAAATAAATCCCAGTGTATTTTTTTGTCAGCAGGATGAGGAATTTTCAGCCTATTTGTCTTCGGGGCTGTGTTACACGCTTTCTAAAGAACCTTGCAATGGGTGAGCAAGAAAACCAAGTTCCTGTCTGCTTTATTCAGCACTTTGCATATGTGAAATAGCTGAAAGACAGTGCATTTCCAGCAATTCATAAGCTAATGTGTTAAGAGACTGAAAGGACATAACTAATTTGATATAACCTGAAATTTAAAACCAAGCTATGCTTATGAAAAATGCCTCAAATGTGTCATAAACCTTCCAGGTATATCACCCATCAAGAACACAAGTGCTGAGATATATTAAGAATCTTTTCAGTCAGTGTCTCAATGAATAGTAGTCGATGTTTTTTGAATAAAATAATATGGAATAAATTTCCTAGAAATTAAGTCTTGTGGATTATTCTTGGTCTGTTTTTCTTAGACACCATAAATGTGTGGTGTGGGAGGTGGGAGGCTACAGGCCACGTGCACAGAGGTTGTATGCTCAGATTAATTATTCAGGCTAGAGCTACTGCTAATGTTTAGTTTCAACAGCTGAGGAAATGAGGCTAAAACTTCCCAGGGCACTTTGCCCTTGTGCTGCAGACACAATGGGTTTACTGTCAGCTTTGCTCTCCCGTGAAAGCTCATATTGCTTCCAGATCCAGATGGGCTGTAGGAGGAACGGGAGGTGTGCGAACCGGCTAGCGTATAGATTTAAAAACGCTGTCTGACCTGAGCTGCTTTTGCAAAAAGTCACCTTGGCTGCCTCTGTCCACAGCAAAGTTCAGTTGTGTGCTGGATGAACTGCCTGAGGATGACTTTTAGCCAAGTGCAAGGGATTCAGCACTAGTGTGTCGATACACAGTTATAACGCGGAGTTCACCTTGCCCAGGGGCTGGCTACAGAAAAGCACTGAAAAGCACCACCTGCATGTCTGCCAGAAAAAAATTCTCTGCCGTAGAGCCACCACAAAGGACTTACTTGGGATTATTTGTCCTGTGTTTGAGCCGCTGTGCGAATGAAGCCTAGCACAGGTAGCAAGCACTTTGAGAAGCTAGATAAAGCCAGGACTATGTCTGTGGAGAGATCATTGTAGGTTCTGGTAATTCTTCCTTTCCTTTGTTTGTTTGTTTTGGGATTACCATGTCTTTAAGGGAAGGAGCAGTAGCAAAATACACCACCTCTGCTTCATCTCTGACAGGCTGCCCCTCAGATGCAGATATTCCCCACCTTCAAGAAACACGAAGAAAAACAGAAAAAAGTAAATACACACTATATGTATAATAAATATATATATCACACATGTATAATGTTTAAAACTTCAATGTGTTGAAGTGTGTAAATGTGTAAATCCCAAAATTATACATGAAAGTAATAATTTTTTTTATACTTCCAGTATCATTTTAATTTACAAGAGTCGCTTATCAACTAGTTATCATCGGTATTTACACAAAAATGCTGCACATGAGATCTACATTTAAAAAAGACCTTCATAAAGGACCTATTCTAATAGGGATTAAAAAACATGGGTTGGTAAGACTGTAGTTACTCTAAACTACAGTGAAATGTGTAAATCATATTAGGACTTAGCATTACTAGTAATTTTAATAATAATGGCTTTACTGGTAATTTTGTGGATCTCAATAATCTGTCGTGTCTGATGGATTCTAGTAGCGAATCCTGTGATGATATTCCTGCAGGGGAACAGCAGTAGTTTTAAGTCATCAAAGGCATCTTCTTCCAATGGGTTTAACCTTTGCTAAGAAGATCCTCTCACCGGCAGTCACTACCTTTTTGTCCTGATGGACACGTCTCGGTCTTGACTCAGCAGCCTGGGGTTCAAACGGTGCCTGCGGCAGCTCCCTGGGGACAGCTTCAGGTTTTGCCCTCTTGGAAGCCTTCTGATAACACAGCTTGGGGCTTGAAGCTGTGAGCGGAGAGCAGCACTTTCCTAACAAGTGCAAACAGAAACCTCAAACAACCTTTCAAAGTTATTTTTACAAAGCAATTAATTTTTAGAAGAGAGCTATTTAGCTCTGACTCCGTGCTGTTTCCCACGTGGCTGGCTTATATTTTACCAGCTTCAAGTTGACAGGCTCAGCGCTGTTTGCACCTGCCTGTGGAAATGTGCCCAGGAGTCACCAATACTTCAGAGAGCTTGATAGATTAAAAAATAAATTCTGGCATATATGAAGTCGAGAAACTGGAAGAGAAATGCTTCTGAGTTAAATCTACCTGAATTAAAAAGAAAGTCATAAGTGCTGTGAAAAACTGAGCAAGGACTTAAAAATAAAGGCAAAGTGAACGAAGACCTTCACACAGGCTTAAGAAAGGGTGCTCTGACCTAATGCTTGTTTTGCTAAAACAGACTAATGACTGAAGTTTCAGCAGTTTGATTCAGTATGAAGACGTGCTTTGAGGGATAGCGGGAGCGCCAAGGGGAACAACCCGCCCTGTGTTTGCCTTGGTGATGGGCAGAGTGGAGGCTGAGGAACTGGGAGAGTCCCTCTCATCAGGGAGGAAGCTACTTGTCACTGAAGGACAGGGGACATGACAGCTGTCCTGGAAAGGCATCCTGTTGTTAATCTACATCAATTTCTGCAATGAGCTGAAGCGAATTTCTTCCCATCCTTGGTTGCAGACCAGCCATACAGGTACTTCGGCAGTCTCTGTGACCAGGACGTCGGGTGGATGATTGAGAGTGTCGTGGTCATTGTATATCTTTCCTCTACGTAACCCATTTTTCTCACAGATAAGGAGAAAAACACGTAAGTGCATCAAATCTCCACACAGCAGCACTGAGCAGTACAACTGCTGGTTACACCTTGCGTTCATTGCAGAATTCAGGCGGAAGAGGACTGGTCTTTTTTGACCTCAGGCATAAAATTAAAAGGGTTCTCCTTTGGCTTGTCCTAAGGAGACAAGATCCTTGGATGCGGGGTTGGGGTGTCCCTGGCCAAGGCCAGCTCCGGCTCTGCTGGGGAAAGGCCAGGCTGTAGGATGGAGCAGCGAGAAGGTCCGTGGCGTTACAGCTGTGAGGGAAAGGTGAGGCTGCAGGCAGAGGCGGCTGCTGCTCGTTGAGACGGGCAAGAGCAACGACTTGAGGATGCAAGAGGAAAACTACCCAACCTGAAAAGATACAAAATCCTAAAGGAAATCTGGTGCTGGAGGACAAGGGTTTGGTACCACTGGGGACTTGTAGGGAGCAGCAGGGTGGACTGATGTCCACCTGAGTGATGCTTGCTGGCCCGCGGGGGGTCTTTGTGTGTCTGCCCTGCGAGTGCTGAGTGTGCTCATGCTCAGCCTCATGGCCTCTCAGGCTTTGTCAGCTCTTACCTGTGTCAACTTCAAAACACCAGCTTTACGCTTTCAGGTTGAGCATATTCGGCATGCGGGGTCTGCACGCGGTAAAAAGTGCCTGAACGAAGTGACCTGCCGCGGGTCGCTGGGCATTCGAGACGCTGCGTCTTGAAACGCACTGTTACCCTGGAGCTGGTTTTGCTTGTAACAGGCAAAGAAATGACAGGGAAGGAAAAGTTCACTAATGGCTGGATAAACAATAAATGCTTAGCACTCATACCTTTAAAATGAGTTCTTGCAAAATTTGGGTCAGGGTTCTGAAAACAGGTAGCATGCCAGCTCCTTCTGGCGGGACACAGCTGGGCTCTAACCCACTCTGCATAAAAACAAGAGGTTTGGGATTTTCCAGAATAGGCTGCTATTCCTACAGAGCCTTGTAAAACTGTTTTTTTCGGTTTATGCAGAAGTAGTTTTTTAGTTGTGAACTGTAAAACAATCTAATGTAGGACTGCATGCAAACAGAAGAGGCCATAAAGCAACACTAACACAGCATCAACGGACAAGACACCCGAAGATGTCCTGAGAAGTGGGTGAGTATAGAAAACGACACAGCGGCCGCTCCAGGAAACACAAAAGTGCCACAGTGGGTCATTAATTTTCATCAGTCTTGCAGATTAGGTAGTTTTGATTTTGAAGAGTCACAAAAGAGCCAACACGGTGGATCTTGGGGGGGAAAAAAAAAAGCTTTATTTATTTCTTAACTCCTCTCTCAAGTCAGGTGCACCCGTCCTTGCAAGGACCACGTTGTCCCTGTGTCCCGCAGCTCACGAGTGTGAGCCATAGGCTGCAATGGGGGTAGGGCAGGGGATGTATATAATATGGGTGCCCAGTGCTGCGGGGTTGAAGCACTACTGGGAATTTTTTTAATAGTGATCCCTCCTGTGGACAGATCTGTGCTTCCTCCTGAGACAAACAGCTTTGTGGCTTCCTCTGGTGATGTGTTCAGGAGCAGACAGCCGAGACGAGAAATGGTAGACTTTTTCAGCAATCTCCTCTTCAGGTCAGGAAAATGCAGCAAATCCTCTGTGCGGCATTTCTTGCCTTTTGAAGTATTTCAGGTATTGCAGGTATTTACACCTGTCCTTCAGGAAGTTTAATTAAGTTGAGTAGGTAGTGATGACAAGGAGCTTTTTCTTTATATTTCTTTATATTCTACAAAAATAAAAATTTCTGCCTAGTCTGTTTTTAGTTTTGCTTTTGGCACTGGGTATTAATATCCCAGCATGTCGCGTAGGTGTCATCATTGGTGAGTGCATATAGATATAGGAACTTCAGCGGCAGTGAGTGGATCTGGAAATGGGAATTTACATTAACTCGTAGAGACTGGGGATAACTTACTTGTATGGCAGCAGATGAGTATACAGCACTTTGCAGGAAAATAGTTTGGGTAGGTCTTTGCCTGCAGATGTTATGTAATGGACTTTTGATAAGAGGGATGATTTAAAGATATACTGAATTATAAATGTAAAAGGAGACTGAAAGTTAACTGAAAATTTTAAGAAAGAAAAAAAATTGTGGATTGTCCCCTGGATTTGAGACTGGAAACTAAGTATGTTGAATTGCAAGCTGGCAAGTCTATGCCATGCTGTGCAGTCAGCATAAAAGTATCTTAAATTCTTCCTGCTGTATTTTTTAGTCAGCTGCTGCTAATCATCACATAACATGCACATATGGGGCTGAGTTTGTTTAACCCTTTCAGTCTTGATTGGTCTGATGACAGAAGGCACTGAGAAGCCTAAAATAACTATGTAGACTTTAAAAAACCAGCGTGCTCATGTGGGGCCTCTTAGGGCAGTGAGGCTGTGACGGATGAGCTCTCTGAAGGAACCTGTTAGGGCACTGACAGCAACTGGTCAGGACTAAAAAGATGGAAAATTTTGGACACTTGATCCCTGCCACCACACAAACCTCTTTTGTTAATGCAAGGAAAAGATGGCCCAAACCCCCTGCGATTACTTCATGACAGCTATTCGATCGCAAGGTTCCCACAGCGGCTGGCGACGCGACTCCCCGTGTTCCGGTGCGGCAACGGGGCCTCTCCGTCACCCAGTCACTCCGCCTTGAAGTCCTGCTCGGTGAGCAGCGTGTACAAGGAAGCAATGGATTATTTTCTCTGAAAAACCTCTCGCGTTACGGAGTTTTGGGTAAAGAAAATCGTCACCTTTGTGACTCCTCCTCTACTCGAGGGCGATGCCGATCGCTCCTTGCGGTGGGGTTTTTTCCCCAGGGAGCGCCGGCTCCCGCGCGGCAGCTTTCCCACGTTGCGGCAGCACCCAGAGATAACGCCCCGCGCTCGGCCGGTGCCGCCGCCAGCCTCCTTTCCCACACCGCCCTCGGAGCTGCAAGCGTTTACACCTTGGGAGGGACGGGATGGGGAAAGGGGCCGCAGAAAGGAAAACCTGCAAAACTTTAAATTGGCTACTCGGTTACGTGTAGCCTGGTGGAAAAAAACCCGCTGCGGTTTCTCTGTGGTTGTTTTAAATTTAGGTGAAGCAACTACGCACCCTTCGATGGGAAATACTTGGAGTACAGAAGTCATTAAAAAGAAGATGATGGGTGGGGATGTAATGAAGTTGAATTTCGGAGGTGGTCGCAGTTTTGAATCATGTTTCTGTTTGAAGTGCCATTTTCCAGAATCAGTATCCAGTCATCAGACAACTCTTCAGTGTTTCCAAGCCAAGAATCCGAAGGGATTCACTTTGCTGTTAAACACCAGGCTGTGTATTTTACCCAGGAGGTGGCACTGTCTGTAGTGTTTCTGCTGTCCTCTCACCTCCCTTGTCATGTGTCAACAGGAGCTGGCTGGTTTGCGTGCAGGGCCAGCAGGCTTTCCAGGGGTGATTCATTTCCTCATGCTGCCAGTATCTCATACTAAAATTGCTTTTAATATCTGGGCAAATTAGAACTTATTTTGACATAGCCTGGTGTCTGAATGGGAATGTTCAATCCTTAGAAAAGGGCAGATCAGCTCAGGCAACTCATCAGTGACTCCCATGGCCAGTTCCAAAGGGCTCATTTTATTTCAGAAAACTAACGAAAGCAAGATCCAGACTGGGACACTGCATTATTTGGGGGCTTAAAGTTTCCAGATTTGGAGAACAACAAACTTCTTTTTCTGCTATTTACCGAATTACTCACTTTTCTTCTTGTTTCAGTCTCTCCAAGGAACAGCGAGAGGTGCGGCAAAGTTTGCTATCGATGTTGGGTACCACCACCTTGATGGTGCCTTCCTGTACCAGAACGAGATTGAGACTGGGGATGCGCTACGAGAAAAAATTGAGGGGGGAGTTGTGAGGCAAGAAGACCTCTTTATTGTCAGTAAGGTATGTCCTTGGATAACTTGTGTTACACAAGGCCAGCTCTCGGGAGGAGAGACAAAGTCCCAACCTGCAAAGTGCCAGGGGATGAAGCTGGTTTGGGAATTACCTCCTTTCTGTCAGGGCAAAGCGTTCTGTGGATGGAGGGAAGGAAGAGGTCAACTCTTGAAACAAAAAAAAAATGGCTTGATTTGAGAGGGGTTTTTTTGTAGTCCATATCCATTGTCAGCCATGGAGACAGGAACTGAAGCCGTGCTCTCCGCTGCCTCCGAGATAGGAAGCATGGCTATTGTATTTGTGGTCACTCCCGCTGCGCTGCCGGCCTCAGCCTGTTAACTCCCATATGTTATGCTTTGTTTTGTTTTTTCCCCCAACAACAATGGTAGGAAAAATAAAGTAACTTCTATCTGCTGGAAGCTGGTGGGTTGATTTTCACCAGTTTTGCTTTTTTTCTTCATCTTGTTTAATTGTTGTATGAATGGTTGGAAGTTTAGCACATCTCATTCTCATCTCACTTAACTGACAGCACCGCCAACAAAATAAGGTGCACAAAAGTGGCGCTTCCTCAAGACGATAAGACGTGCCATACGGTGAGCTGCCTCTCTGTCTGCGCCCTGTGCTTCCCTGCCAGGGGTGCTCCGCGGCCGTGAGGTTAGGAGAGCAGCTCCCAGGCTCTGCATTACCCCTGCAGCTCCACGAGAGACCCATGGTGAAGGAGGCACACCAGAAAACACTTGCTGCCCTTCAACTGGATTATTTGGATCTTTACCTGATGCACTGGCCCATAGGATTCCTCCGTCAGAGCTCTGCCACTGCTTTTTCCTTTGGGGCTGCACGTGCCCTTAGTCTTCTCTAATGAGGAGTGTTGTTAAACCTCATTAGGACATAATGACAAACCTCTGTAGGGAGTGCTCAGGAGGAAAGGGGAAGTCATGGCTGCTTAAATTAGGTCTTGTAGTACAAAAATCACCTTATTTTACTCTGTTCAGGATTTCCTTGTCATAGATCAAAATACCATCCAGATCACGTTCCTCTTAAAGCCTGGGATTTGGCTGTCACTGGCTTATCCAGGATCAAACAGTTGTGAATTACTTAGTTCCTATTTTTCTCTTCTCTCTCTACCCCCAGGTTAAATCAATCCTCATTTCCCTGTCCTGTCACATCCCTGACCTTCCCTCAACGTGACTGAGGCACTTAAAGGTCTCTGCCCTTCCTCTGCCTGCAGGGCAGGTTCTCAAGAAGCAGATTTTTTTTGACATTTCTCTGTTGCTGCAGGTTACTGGTTTTGGCCACCTCTCTCCCTAACACAAACATAAGCCAAAGTATCCAGCGTGTCTCCAGCTCCACTCACAGAATTTCTAAGTGATTTCTTTAACTACTTATGATTCAGCCTGCCTTAAACCTGCTGTTCTTTTGTGATGCAGGAGAGGAGCTACTTCCTGCAGATGGAAATGGCATGATCACTCCCAGCAACACAGATTTTTCTGGATACATGGGAGGTATGTTCATTGACAGGCTGAAAAATTCTTGCTAGCTGAAAATAACGGCCTGAAAACTTTAAGCCTTCCACTTTGGGAATTGTTTTGAGAGAATTTCCAATGTGAAGTATCCCAGATTGCTGATTTCTCTGTGCCCGTGGGCTCCTTTTTGTGTTACTTTGCCAAAATTGAGGTATCTTCATGCCTACTGCCTACGAAAGTGGCTGGGTGGGCACGGCAAGAGGAAACCTTTGACTGTGTGTGTACCCTGCAGTGGCTTGGGCTGACGTACGCCGTCGCTTCCGTCCCCACGCCACACTCCAGGCATTTATCAGTGGCTTTAGCTGTAGCCATGCTCATCCCTAGTTGCACTTGAGCTGTACAGACCACAGCAAAGCCAACATGCCTGTGCCGATGTACCAAGAGCATCCCAATTTGCCCCCTCTGGAAAGTACCGGAACTCGCCCAAAGTCCTTCGCTAAAGCTGTGTGTGCAACGCAAACAGCCACGAGCACAGGCTGTCTGGGCGTCAAGCCTTGGGCGCAAGTTCAACTGTATCTTCCTGGTTGATGGTTTGGGCTTCCTTTCTCCTCCACTCCACAGGTGCTGAGCGTGGCCAGGTTGAAAGAGGACAAGAGACTCACCAGAGTCAGAAGAATTTGCTGATGCTTTTTCCCTTCTGTCAGATGAAGAATAAGGCGCATTTTTGTTGCTCATTTGAAGGAAGAAAGTGGACATTTCAGGCTGATGCTTATGATAGCAACTTCAAATATAAATTATTTCTGCTTTGGAAGAGGTGTATCTTCTGCTGTAACTGGTAGTAGATTATTTTCTCCTATTTCTTCTATGCTGGAGGTGACAATCTAATTAGGGCTGTCTAGCTGTTTGATTGCTTGCTAGTGTGAAAGAAAATAAGTGGTGGTGGTGGGGAACACAGCACTGCTTATATTACACTGCCACTGCTAAATGGTACATCTCCCTTGGGAAATTAATCCATGTTGTTGATCAGGTATCCTGCCCCAACCTTTTCAGAACAGCTCCTTGTCGAGCTGTTCCAAATGACAAGCTTTTTATTATAATTATTTTGTTAGCTGAGGAATTATCCTAAAAAACCCTCTTTTCTTCTAGAGCAGAAGGTCTGCTTGGGGACAATATTTCAAAATAGTTCTTTTCTACTGAAATAATCATAGCGCAATAATTGTTAATCTTGAATAATGCTGTTATTTATTTTATGATGATACGTGATGTGAGAGCCTGAGTCTTTGACCAGGGTCCCACCATTCAATGTGCTGTACATCAGAAGAGGATTCCAGCCATGATGATTTTTACCACCGAAGTCTTTGCACAGGCATTTTTTCCATATGAAAAAAGATCTTAATTCAACAGCATGTCTGATTCTGTAGTGTTTCTAGGCTGTGGAAGAGCTGGTGGATGCGGGAATGGTGAAGGCCATTGGAGTCTCCAACTGCAAACAGATAGATTGGTTCCTGAGCAAACCAGACTTAAAACACAAACCTACAAATAATCAGGTAAATTGTTCTCAAACTCATCAGTACTGACATCACACCTGTCTGGGGTGTTGCATTTGATCCAGGCTGAGCGCTGAGCTCTCCAACGGAGGAGGTGGCAGAGCTTACGCTTCTCCTTTCCTCCAGCCCCAGTGCCTGTCCCAGGAGCCAAGGAAAAAGAGGCTGTGTGACTAGATAGGACCAGAGCCAGGCTACACTGCTGGGGTGGATAGGTGGGACCAGATGATGTGAGACGGGTGTTTCAGCTGGATGTAGACAACTGGACCTTGGAGCCCCTTCATATGGGGACTGTGAGAAGTCATGAAAAATGAGGCAGGCAGCTGGAAAGTGAAACCAATGTGTGAAGATTGGGCCTTGTTGGAGGCAGGGTTGGGAAGAAGAGGAAACGATCTGAAATAGTGGCTGACTCTCTTAAAAACCCCAAAGCTGTAAAAAGAGCAACCTTTACAAAGCCGATGTGGGGCCTGGTAAGGTCACCATACTGATGCTAAACCTTGAAGTATCTTTTGCTTCCAAAGAAACCTAGTATTTTTGTTTGAAGATTGAGAGCCACCCCTATCTTCCTCAGGAAGTGCTGATTAAGTTTTGCTAATCTCCAGGGATCTCTGTCACTGCATATTGTCCCCTTGGAGAGCCCAATTGGCCATGGTAAGAATGCTTTGTGAGACTTCTTTCTTAGACACAGATCGGAGCCAATACAATAAACCAGTCTTGGGATGCAGATAAACACTCACAGAGTAAAACTGATGTAATTAGAAAAACATTTACAAATTTGTTAAAAATTATAAATACATAGAAAACTCTCTCACACTTACTGTGATATTCAGTCCACTAATACCTGTGCCATTATGGGAATTTCATATTTAGGAGAAAAAGGATCAATTGATTGGTGAAATAAATAGTGAAGATAATTCCTAATTGAACTTGGGTGAGCTTATTAAACATGAAAGAGAATCACAGAATCATTAAGGTTGGAAAAGACCTTTAAGATCATCAAGTCCAACCATCAACCCAACACCACCATGCCCACTAAACCATGTCCTGAAGTGCCACATCTGCACATTTTTGAACACTTCCAGTGATAGTGACTCCACCACCTCCCTGGGCAGCCTGTGCCAATGTTTGACCACTCAGTACAGAAATTTTTCCTAATAAATAGTCTAAACCTCCCCTGGTGCAACTTGAGGCCGTTTCCTCTCGTTCTAGTGCTAGTTACTTGGGAGAAGAGACCAAACTTCTGAACTGAAAAACCCAAACAAACAACCCAAAACAAAGCAGCACATGCTTATGAAAAATGCAACTTTGCAGTCCTGCTGAGTGCGTGAGATGATGCTTTCTTATAATTTAAGTAACATTCTTATACTACAGTGCTTGAGGGAGAAGATAGCGAGCCATCCAAGTGCTGAAGCCTGCTTTTTATTTTCACAGGTCCTAAGTTCAGAGAACCGTCGCCGGAGACCAGCACGGACCTGGGCTGAAACCTCTGCCTTGAGGATCAACCCTTCACCTGTTAAGAAATGCAAAGGCATTTAACATCAGTACTTCACGGAACTCTAGGGGAACGTTTTAGCAGGTACCTTTGTGTGTGTACATATGTGTGTATATATATATTTCTTCATAGATGTCCTCTTACATATACATCTCTTCTATATATATCTCTATATCTACATCTGTGTGTGTAATTAGAGAACTTTATTGAGTTCTTAAGTTGTTAAGCTTTATTGGCAAATTATATAATCTAACATTGTGATGTGCCTTAATAGTAAATTTTAAATTGCTGTCATTTTATATTAGATTTATATTTAGATTGTTGCCATTCTAAAGTAAGTCATACAAAACACAAACTCATATGTTGAATCACCACACCAAGATCCCTGCGCTTAATCCCTTTAGTCCTAAAATGTTCACGAAGTCTGGGACTAGGACTGGATTCAGCGGCCCCTAGACTCTTCTGTATAGGAGTTTAGAAAGCAAGGAGGTCCATTCTTCCTCATGACTCAACGGGAGGGTCTCCCTCAATTTCTTTCACTAATCCACATGTAAGTCATACCAAGCCAGTTCGATTTCCCTGACTCCGTAAAAATAATTTCCCCTGATCCATGTGTAAATCATTCTAGCCCAATTCTAATCAGTTTTCTCTTTGTATGCTTTTTCCATGTTGAATAAGTAATAGAGTGGACCTTGCCATTGAATTCTGTTAAGTCATGCTTTTTACAAGTACTAATATTACATATTAAAATAATTGTATTTTTTAAATATCTCCAGCAGTGATTCTTTAAGCTGCCTAAACCACTCATTTGCGACAGCAACCCAGCTGTTTGTGACCTTCATTTAGGTGTTTGACTTTGAATTGGCTAAAGAGGAGACAGAAACCTTCCTTGCATTCAAGAAGAGGTACTGCATCTGTGTATTAAGCAAATGAGTACCTCCTCCTCCATGATTTAGCAAGATTGGGTTATCATTGGATATTCTCTTAACAGACAGCATTTGATAGCCCCACCTAAAAAAAGAGAGGGAACCGTAGCCAACATCTGGTCAGCTCCGTACCTGCTGGAATCCAGCACTAGGATTTATTAAAGCATTGCCCATCTCGTACAGGTTGGTAGCACTGGGAATTTTGCAGGTATGTATGTTGTGTGTTAAGATATCCCTTAATGGATGCATACCAAACTGCTGTCTGAAAATCAAAATTGGCTGGAAACTCCAAAATAAATAGGCGGCTTTTGTTTGTTTGTTTGTTTTCTTTGGCTACCTTATATGAGACAGTCAGTCTGTCTCTTATATAAACAAACTCATTTTTAAGAATGAGAGTTGTAAGTTTTTTTGAAGTGAAAAGCTGTGCCTGTATATTTATGCCAATGCTATTAAGGCAGCATCTAGATAATAGAGTGGTTAGATACAGACTTACCAAGCTCTGCAATTTATTCTCTTTTCCCAGGTTACCCACTTATGAAATAGCATACTGCAGACTTACAAGTTCATAGGAGAGTGGTTTAATATCCCAGGGAAGTTTGGCAATTTCAACTAAGCAAAAGGTAACTATCTTTTGAGAACGAGGTCATTGATATATGCAAAGGGTACAGAGCATGAACTTCCACTGCCCTGTGTAAACTAAGCTGACTTATGTTAGTGTTTTTATTGTAGTTTACAGTTTTAGTTCTGCAGAGCTTCTGTCAGGGGAAAAAAGCTGCTGCTTCTTACTTAGCCTTAAGACTACCTCCTTAACTTGTTTTAATCATACTCTCTTTTTCTAGATGCAAAAATCACAAAGACTATCCTGTTTTGGAAGACTAACACAGGTAGTCCCCATCTTCAGATTCTCCAGGGATCAGAACTGTATTTCATTGTTTCCAGTGATTTGTAATACTTCATGTGTATTAAACCACAGCATAAGTAGAATATGTATTACAAGATGGGACAAAAGTAGCTCACAGGCATTCTGAAGAGTAAGCTTTGAGCACGCTTGAGTTTGCTTCCTTTATTACCAACCACAGTTATGTCAGTCCTTTATCTGTATCTTTGTGTTGCAAAAAGTAATGATAGTTAAAGTAGTTCAATGAACCTGAATTTTTAGGACTTGTGAAAAGCAGTCTTTGTCATAAATATAAATCCTAACAAATTTTTAGAGAAATTCAGATTCTCCTAGTGGCTGTATTTTTAGACAAAAAGTAAAAATATATGCTAACTATCTTTTAGTTGTTAATACAAGACAAGCCATGTAATATCAGAAGATCTTTATGAGGGAAGACAGTATGCTGCTTGAGATCCTTAGTTCAGTAATTTCAGCATAACAGACCGAATGCTCTTTAGAGGACACTGCTGAATTATGTTTCAGGAGCTGTTTTCTTAATGAGGTTTCCTATTTATGAACTGCTAAAAACTAATAAACTGGTAGGAGATTTGTATGTTTGGTTTATCATATCTACAAGAGTATATAAATACTGCCTTTATCAGTAGAATGGCTGCAGTTAAGGCTGTGAATCTCTCCCAGCAAATCCAAACTCTGATAAAGGAGACACTGAGGAATTATTTTGCTTGGCAACTGTCTTATTTAACAAGCAGAAAAGCTGGGCAGCTTCATAGAAGCCAACGGTAGATTTTCACTCTCTTGTACTGCTCCCTAGATACTGTCTCCTTGTGTTTTGACTCAAAGGATGTCACTGGATGTTTTCTCTGGTAAAAGAAGTCAGTGCTACTGCAGCCCATGCATCTGCTGGAGTTTTAATGACGTGTCCGTCAATCAAGACTTCTTGTTCTTGAACTCTAACACATGACTCAAAACTCCTGTAACTGCTTTAGGCTCTTCCAGCCCAGTAGAAAAACAATGTGGATCAGCACTGCCTGCAGAGAGGAAGGATAATTGTGTAATTAAGGTTCAGAGCTAGGATACACACTTCATGGATATCCTTTTCCAACTGATTTTCTTTGTAGTTGGGGTTTTTAAGTCCCTAAAGGAAATGATGACATACCTTTGAGCTACTTGAGACTTTTGCAAGATGTTTAACTAACAGGTGCCCTACAACTGGCAAAGCAATTCTGTGAAATTTTATTTCCTACAGCAGCTATTCTGAAGAAAGGTCTGAAAAGCCTATCAGCAATTGATACCAAACAGTTATAGTGCAGTGGTATGGAGAGGAAGGTGCCTGTTGTAGGTGCTCTTTTTTTCTCTCCCTGAACATGCTAAATTGAAAAGGTCAGTTATGGGATATCATCATAGCTGCAGTTAGAAAATGAGCTACATGGAAGGTGCTGTGCTTCCAGGCATTCACACTGTGGTCAGGTTGCGTCCATCTACAGCAGCAGGAGCAGTACCCACTCAAGGCTGCGGTGTACAGCCTATCTTGAAATATTCTCTACTTCATAGGAATTTTCTAACAACATTCCAATTTAATCACAGCTATCAGACTTGAAGTTATTTACAGGATGTTTATAGACTGCAGTAGGCAGGAAGTTGGACTAGATGATCACAGTAGCCATATAATAGTAAAAAATTCAAAACAAGGTAGAAGCCAGAGATTGTGTGTTTGTTTAGACACAATGGATTTTTTTCATCTGCAGCAACTTTAGCAAAGGTAAAAAGAGAAAAGCTCAGATGATGTCAGTTACTGCAAAATAAAGTACCTTCTATTCTGCAGCAGAGCCAGAGGCATATGACTTAAGACAGTGTTTGCCTTTCTAGCAGACCGCTGCTGCCTCAGAGCAAATCACAGCAGCCTATGATGGCAGTAAGCGTGCTTCTCAAGCAGCTTATAGCAGCAAGCTTCCATAGCTTTACCACATCATCTACCCCACACATGTGCTGCAAGGGCACTGCTCTAATTATATCTATCTATAGATGAGAAACTACTAAGCATGATTTCCCCCGTATTCAAGTTTTGAGGATTTAAAAAAATCTTTTAACATCTTTTGTAGGTTTATTTTTGGATTTCCACCCTCCCCCAAGGTCAGATGTGGCTTTACAAGAGAACAAAAATTGCCATGAGAAGCTAGGGTAAAGACTTGGGCATGTTTTACCGCTATTGTAAATTCAGGTGACTAAAGAAGAGCAAGAGAAGAATAGACAAGCTGCAACTGTCTTCTAAATATTTTTTTTGTTCTGTCAGCGTGGTGACCTGCAGCAGAGGTATTGCCTCTCACTGAGAGGTGGTGGAA